TAGGTCACGTTTGTAACTAATTGGAAAATCAGAGCAATGTGCCCGGCCAGCCGACGTGATCGAACACGCACTGCTGCGTCTGATACACACACACACACACACACACACACACACACACCACACACACACACACACACACACACACACACACACACACACACACACACATACATTAGGAAGTGATGTGGTGGAGGCTGACTCCATACACAGTTTCAAGTGTAGATATGATAGAGCCCAGTAGGCTCAGGAATCTGTACACCAGTTGATTGACGGTTGAGAGGCGGGACCAAAGAGCCAGAGCTCAACCGCGGCAAACACAACTAGGTGAGTACACACAAACTGGAGCATGCTGTAGAGGTGACAGGGAGACTTGTGATGAAAAATGTTCTGACAGAAAGATGAGGGCGGTAATCAGAGGCAAGACTGGAGGAGAGTTACTGAACCACAGGGTTCAGTTCTTGCACCAGTAACGATGCATACTGGTAGTCGCATCGTCTACATCAATGATCTACCAATAGAGAATTATATGAACATGTTTGCGGATGATGCTAAGATACTGGGGAAGATAGGAGACGCAGACGACTGTAATGCCCTTCAAATTGATCTAGATAAAATAAGTGCTTGGAGCGACATGTGGCAAATGGAATTAAATGTGAATAATTGTCATGTTATGGAATGTGGAATCGGGGAAAACTGACCACACACAACTTACAAATTATGTGGAAAGGAATTACAGAACTCAAATAAAGAACGAGACCTGGGGGTGGTTTTGAATAGAAAGCTGTCGTCAGAGGAACCTGGCTTATCCAGGATCTAATATGTGGCTTACATAAGCCACAATTAAAAACATTGTGAGAGGAGCGTATGCGTCGCTTTCCAACTTCAGATTTGCTTTTAATTACATGGATGGTAAATTACTAAAGAAACTGTTCATGACTTTTGTGAGACCAAGACTGGAAAATGCAGCAGTTGTGTGGTGAACATATCTCAAGAAACACACAAATAAACTGGAAAAGGTGCAAAGTTATGCTACAAAATGGCTTCCGGAACTGAAAAACAAGAGTTATGAGGCGAGACTAGAGGCGTTAAACATGCCAAAACTAGAAGATAGAAGAAAAAGAGGCTATATGATCACCACTAACAAAATAATAACAGAAGTCAACCAAATTGAATATGGAATCCTGGAACCAGCAACTTCAAGAACAAGAAAACACAGATTCAAGCACGGAAACAAAAGTGGCGAAAAAATATTTGAAATTTTACTTTTGCAAAGTGTGTAGACGGTTGGAACAAACTAAGTGAGAAGGTGGTGGAGGCCAAATCCGTCAGTAGTTTCAAACGTTATACGCCAAAGAGTACTGGGAAGACGGGACACTACGAGCATAGCTCTCATCCTGTAACTACACTTAGGTAATTACACACACACGAGACCCTGAACCATGCCAGTAAGAGGCGGACTGCGTTAGGCGGGAAATCAGACACGAATACGCTACATCTGATAAATCCTGTCCACAGTATAGCAGCCTATGCCAGCAACTCACCCTGGAAACACAAACCGAAACTTGTCTCTATTTTCAACTTGTAATAAAGTTGTTACATCTTGGCTTAACGTGTTTATGACGTATTAGAACGTTGTTACAACTTGCTATATTGGTTGTTATAACTGGTTGGGAAGTGCTAAAACGTGTTCGAACGTTGTACCAACGTCGTAGTTTCGGTGTGTGTTTGGCGGGCAGAAATCAGAACAACGACGGACAATTAACATTCCAATCCGTCTCTATGACATGGATCTACGAACGGAAACAACTTCTAAACATGAATCCTCTCCGTGTTGTGGTTTCCACCGTTGGTGTTTTACCACTTGGCCAGACTCTAGCGACACGACCGGTATTCAAGAGACAAAACACAATCGGACTACCTTAGCCGATATCCAACCGGCGCTCATTCGGCGGACCCCGAGTTTGATTCCTGGGCTGGTCGAGACATTTGGGGACGTTTCCTTACATCTGGTGTGTTTATTCACCTAGCAGTCAATTGCTACCTGGGAGTTAGGCAACTGTTGTGGGTAGCATTCTTGGAAGACAGTCGGTCATAGGGGTGGAGAGAGAGGGACCTCGATATGGCGAACAAGCTTCCTGTTCCTGGCAATGGGAACCAAATACTAATCAATCCGTTTGAACCTCGAAAAAAAAGTCACCAGGCGCCTCGACGTCACCAGGTCCAGGCTCCACCTAGACGTGACCAGGTCCAGGCTCCACCTAGACGTGACCAGGTCCAGGCTCCACCTAGACGTGACCAGGTCCAGGCTCCACCTAGACGTGACCAGGTCCAGGCTCCACCTAGACGTGACCAGGTCCAGGCTCCACCTAGACGTGACCAGGTCCAGGCTCCACCTAGACGTGACCAGGTCCAGGCTCCACCTAGACGTGACCAGGTCCAGGCTCCACCTAGACGTGACCAGGTCCAGGCTCCACCTAGACGTGACCAGGTCCAGGCCTAGACGTGACCAGGTCCAGGCTCTATCCACCTAGACGTGACCAGGTCCAGGCTCCACCTAGACGTGACCAGGTCCAGGCTCCACCTAGACGTGACCAGGTCCAGGCTCCACCTAGACGTGACCAGGTCCAGGCTCCACCTAGACGTGACCAGGTCCAGGCTCCACCTAGACGTGACCAGGTCCAGGCTCCACTGTAACAGGGACAGGGTAAGTGTCTGTACTTTGTCTACTACCCAGCCCTCAGTTAACTAATCTCAAAGACCCCAGAGCTCTACTATTAGCCTTCAGTCTACTTCTTATGACCTTAGACGGTTGATCGCCTTAGATCCCACAAACACGCTGTACTGGGCCCCTAACAAACTCGAGGATCTTCTCAGCTGCCACCACCTGAATCCGCTTACTTGATTAGTCCCCGAATTGACAGTGAAACAGGAAACCGTCAATTATATAAAATTCTCCAAAGATAGATCCCCAATTAATTAAAAAGGGAGGAATGAATTTACGTTAAATGCTGAAATAAATCGAAAAGAAAGGGATATATCCGATATTAAATATACTAGGCTTGCTTGCAATATGTATACCGACTCAGCCCAATAAACCCGACTCGTGGATTACTCGGCAAAGACAATCATATATTCTGATGAGGTGAACTCCAAACAGAAAACTTAAATCACAAGTTTATTAAATCAAGATTAATCAATTGAATATATACAGAAAACACTCCCTATCTTCAACACTCCCTAAACTGCATATATTCCTACTGAAATATTTCCTAAGAGGCAATGAATGATTCGACTGTACTAAACTCCTTAAGCATGTTACCCAGAAGCCTTAAGCATATTCTAGAACCCAGCCTGTTGTTCGTCCGGCTTCCTGGGGTCGTTGTTCGTCCGGCTTCCTGGGGTTGATGTTCGTGTCCCAGCTGCCCACTCCACACTAAACTCCCGCCAAACACACACCGAAACTACGACGTTGATACAACGTTTGAACAAGTTTTAACACCTAACCCGTTATAACAATCAATATAGGAAGTTGTAACAACGTTCTAATACGTCATGTTAAGACAAGATGTAACAACTTTATTACAAGTTGTAACAAGCGGAAAATAGAGACAGTTAGAGTTTGTGTTTCCAGGGCTTAGCCTGCTCTCTCAAGCCGCGACTGAAGCCAGCTAGAATTACTCCGCCTGCCTCTCTGACTGCTAGGATTAATTGAACAAACTAATCTTATTTCCTGGCCTCCCAGATGGTTGAATTCTTATTGAAACTGATGGTAATTCTATAGGCATCTTGGACCAGGCTATTTCTAATTACAGTATTGAATAGTGACCCGAATTTATAATTTATGATTTAACAATACGGAAGGTTTTTATCACCCTCAGGCCGCGTGACCTTGACCCAGAGTGAGTCATAGCTGGTGTTTACGGACTCGTCGCCCTTGTCAGGGTGACGAGTGGCAGTTCCAGCGCCATCTACGAGTCCGCACCCGAACTGCCCCGGGATTCGTACGTAATGTGGACAATGCCATCTGGTGGTGGCTATCTAGTACCTGTAAATGGCTAAAGATTCCTGCCTTGGTCAGCCAGAGGGTGACCAGAGGGGTCGTTGTGAGTGACCTCTGGTGAGGTGACGCCTCAGGACCAGCACCACCTAGTGTGTGCTACAGAGCACACTGTCAACTCCTCAGTGAGTTAGAGGTATTTCCTAGTTCGCCAGTACCGGCTAGGTCATTGATGACGTTTTTGTGTCCACAGAAGTGACGTCTGGAGGGCAGCGGTACTGGAGCAGGTCATCTTGGGCCGTCCAGAGTCTCCCTACAGGGTCCTGGAAACGACCAAGTCAGCCGCCGCCGATGAAGCAGTGTGGTAGCTGCAATATAGTGCTTTAGTGTTGAAAAGATCGGCGTACCTTTGGGTCTGGCTTAGGGGAGAGACTGAGGACAGGGAGGTGACTGTTGAGTAGTGCTGCTGCTGGTCGCTAGTGACTGCTGCCAGGGGATCGCTACCCCTGTATTGTGACCCCGCTCAGCGTGTGGCTGAGGTACTCTGCCAGCGTGTGGCTGAGGTACTGTGCCAGCGTGTGGCTGAGGTACTCTGCCAGCGTGTGGCTGAGGTACTCTGCCAGCGTGTGGCTGAGGTACTCTGCCAGCGTGTGGCTGAGGTACTCTGCCAGCGTGTGGCTGAGGTACTCTGCCAGCGTGTGGCTGAGGTACTCTGCCAGCGTGTGGCTGAGGTACTCTGCCAGCGTGTGGCTGAGGTACTCTGCCAGCGTGTGGCTGAGGTACTCTGCCAGCGTGTGGCTGAGGTACTCTGCCAGCGTGTGGCTGAGGTACTCTGCCAGCGTGAGGCTGAGGTACTCTGCCAGCGTGCGGCTGAGGTACTCTGCCAGCGTGCGGCTGAGGTACTCTGCCAGCGTGCGGCTGAGGTACTCTGCCAGCGTGCGGCTGAGGTACTCTGCCAGCGTGCGGCTGAGGTACTCTGCCAGCGTGCGGCTGAGGTACTCTGCCAGCGTGCGGCTGAGGTACTCTGCCAGCGTGCGGCTGAGGTACTCTGCCAGCGTGCGGCTGAGGTACTCTGCCAGCGTGCGGCTGAGGTACTCTGCCAGCGTGCGGCTGAGGTACTCTGCCAGCGTGCGGCTGAGGTACTCTGCCAGCGTGCGGCTGAGGTACTCTGCCAGCGTGCGGCTGAGGTACTCTGCCAGCGTGCGGCTGAGGTACTCTGCCAGCGTGCGGCTGAGGTACTCTGCCAGCGTGCGGCTGAGGTACTCTGCCAGCGTGCGGCTGAGGTACTCTGCCAGCGTGCGGCTGAGGTACTCTGCCAGCGTGCGGCTGAGGTACTCTGCCAGCGTGCGGCTGAGGTACTCTGCCAGCGTGCGGCTGAGGTACTCTGCCAGCGTGCGGCTGAGGTACTCTGCCAGCGTGCGGCTGAGGTACTCTGCCAGCGTGCGGCTGAGGTACTCTGCCAGCGTGCGGCTGAGGTACTCTGCCAGCGTGCGGCTGAGGTACTCTGCCAGCGTGCGGCTGAGGTACTCTGCCAGCGTGCGGCTGAGGTACTCTGCCAGCGTGCGGCTGAGGTACTCTGCCAGCGTGCGGCTGAGGTACTCTGCCAGCGTGCGGCTGAGGTACTCTGCCAGCGTGCGGCTGAGGTACTCTGCCAGCGTGCGGCTGAGGTACTCTGCCAGCGTGCGGCTGAGGTACTCTGCCAGCGTGCGGCTGAGGTACTCTGCCAGCGTGCGGCTGAGGTACTCTGCCAGCGTGCGGCTGAGGTACTCTGCCAGCGTGCGGCTGAGGTACTCTGCCAGCGTGCGGCTGAGGTACTCTGCCAGCGTGCGGCTGAGGTACTCTGCCAGCGTGCGGCTGAGGTACTCTGCCAGCGTGCGGCTGAGGTACTCTGCCAGCGTCCGGCTGAGGTACTCTGCCAGCGTGCGGCTGAGGTACTCTGCCAGCGTGCGGCTGAGGTACTCTGCCAGCGTGCGGCTGAGGTACTCTGCCAGCGTGCGGCTGAGGTACTCTGCCAGCGTGCGGCTGAGGTACTCTGCCAGCGTGTGGCTGAGGTACTCTGCCAGCCAGTAGCTGGAGAGTGGTCGTGGGGGTACAGGCACCTCATGACACTGTCAGTGGGCTGGCCCACGTACAGGCACCTCGTGACACTGACAGTGGGCTGGCCCACGGACAGGTGAACTACCCGGTGTTCTTTCCAGTAAGGCTGGAGACACTACTGGACAGTGAAGAAATACTGGGGATTGATCAACTCTGCACGGGAACACGTTTGATATCCTTGAGGTTATCTTGAGATGATTTCGGGGCTTTTTAGTGTCCCCGCGGCGCGGTCCTCGACCAGGACCCCACCCCCAGGAAACAGCCCGTGACAACTGACTAACTCCCAGGTACCTATTTTACTGCTAGGTAACAGGGGCATAGGGTGAAAAACTCTGCCCATTGTCTCTCGCCGGCGCCTGGGATCGAACCCAGGATCACAGGATCACAAGTCCAGCGTGCTGTCCGCTCGGCCGACCGGCTCCACACCTCGACGTCGTTAGGTCCAGGGTCCTTCCTGAGCGAAAGTTTTGTACATAGGTGTAGTAATAGCCTATCTGTTCTTTATATATTATTTATGGTGACGGTGTACATATATATACTTAACGGTGGTGGAAAGATATTTAATACATTGACGAAAGGAACAGTGTTGTTCATCCCCGCCTTTGTTTTATGCACTACATAGCCACTTTCTTGAAAGCGTACTACTGACTTGGGGTCGGATACTATCATTTTGGGTCTACCATCAAAGAACCCGGTTACGATCCATGGTGGCCGTAAGAGCTGGCCTGACGAACTAGTCTCTCTGTCTAATTGGCATCACTGTCTCTTTAATAGCAAACGAGCCTTGATCTTTCCTCTACATGCATGTTAACCTAATTCCTTAAACCAGAATTGGTTCTTACTGCAATTACTGTATTTATAGTTATTCATCACTGTTGAATTAATACAGAGGAAACAGCCATTTTGTCTTCTAATCTCGCTAATCCCTTAATCTCTAGAGAGATGACCTTTCCGCTCCTAACTAGGTCAGACAACCCTCTCACTCCAAGCTTGTGTAAAACCATATGATCTGAGACCTATAACTTCTAAAACAAGCTTGGCTTATTACACCACCTCGACGTCGTCAGGTCCAGGCTCCACACCTCGACGTCGTCAGGTCCAGGCTCCACACCTCGACGTCACCAGGTCCAGACTCTCTGACAAATGATACACGCGCGTGTGTGTGTGTGTGTGTATGTTTGTGTGTGTGAGAGAGACGCAGCATCATACCGGGAAACCCAACTCCACTTCCCTGACCGCACGCCAAACTCGGAGACTTTGATCCCGTCAGCGGAACGTATTCAGATGCAACTCCAGCAAGGTCCGACTGCCGACTTGATATGAAGGCTGCCCTCATCAAACGGACGAGCTCCTGTCGGAAGTGGCGGACCAACCGGGCTGTAATGGATATGTGGGCCTTGCGGGCC